AGCGGTTGTGGGATGAGGTTCCGTTTTGGCAGTGATATAGGGTTTGGTATGGGCCTACACCGTGGTTCATGGGGGTTCAGGGAGCAGAGGGGTTGGACGTGCTGCTGCTGCTAGAATCTGTAGCCTCAACCCACATGTTAGGGTTTGTCTTAGGGGGTACAGATGTTAGGGTTTGTTATATGTACCCCAACCCACATCAATGAACGAACACTTTCATTCTTGACATGGTATCACCTAGGTTAGGATCCTGTGGGATCCCGTTCCTCTCGTTCACGTCCGTAGCACCCGAGCCCGTCCCAGTGCCCGTTACGCTCGTACTGTCCCCTAGCGCCTATCGCGCATGCCGTTACGTCGCTCTCGTGCTATGCGCCCGCTGCGCCTGCCGTTACGTCGCTCTCGTGCCCCAGCACCCGCTGCGCCTGCCGTTACGTCGCTCTCGTGCCCTAGCGCCCGCTGCGCCTGCCGCTACGTCGCTCTCCTACCCTAGCGCCCGCTGCGCCTGCCGTTACGTCGCTTCAACTGTCCCGCCGCGTTGCACTGACCGTCCGCGTCGCGCCGTCCGTCCCGTCCCGTCCGTCCGCATCACGCTGCCCGTCCGCGTCGCGCCTTCAGTCCCGTCCCGTCTGTCCGCGTCGCGCTGCCTGTCCGCGTCGCGCCGTCCGTCCCGTCCCGTCCATCCGCGTCGCGCTGCCTGTCCGCGTCGCGCAGTCCGTCCCATCCCTTCGCGTCGCGTCGCGCTGCGTGTCTGTGTCGCGCAGTCCGTCCCGTCCCGTCCCGTCGCGTCGCGTTGCATCGTGTTGCCCGTCCTGTCCCGCTGCTTGGCGTCGCGCTACCCCTGCCCGTGGTGCGGCGCCCTCCTAGTCCAGCAGTGTTGCGCCCTACTCTGTGTCCCGTAGCGCCCTACCCTATGTCCCGTAGCGCCGTACTGAGTCGGTCTCAGTGATTAGGGTTTCAGCAGCAGCACTTCCCACCTCTTTTCTTTTGTTATGGCGACCCCTAGGGTTCTTCGTTTTGACGCTGACGGTAGACCGCTCGAGTTTCCGGTCTAGCTCCTACGCGCGCGTCGCCTTTTAGAGAGTCAGGTCCAGGCGGGCGAGTCCCTCTGGGCGCACGCTACTGGTGACCTTCCTGCGCCCGACGACACTAGGCCTTTAGGCCCTGCCCCTGTCGACGCCGCCAGAGACCGCTTTACCCGCCAACGTGCTGACCTGACGGCGTGGAAGTCGCGTGACGCTGCGGCCTGCATCGCTCTTAGCAGCCTCCTCCCTGAGTCTGAGGAGGCCCACTTCACTCAGGTTCGCACTGCTAGTGAGTTCATGATTGCGATCAAGGCCCGCTACGCTACTCCCACCACTGTCTCTCTTGGCCGCCTCTTCCTACCGTTCTTGTTCCCTGACCTCGGCTCGTTTGAGCGCTCTGCTGACTTGATTGCTCACCTCCGCTCGCTCGATTCTTGCTACCGCGCTGCTTGCACTGACGCACAGCTTGCATTGCTTCCCCCTCATATGGCGATTATTATCTACTTCATTGCCACTAGCCTCCCTGACCGCCTTGCCTCGGTTCGTGACACGCTTCTTCTGAAGCACCCTAGTGAGCTCACTATCAAGGTCCTTGAGTCTGCGCTCAAGGATGTCGAGAGCAACCTCCGCTCAGTAGCCTCCCCCTCTGGTGTTGTGCCCCCTCCACTGTTTCACGGGTGCACTGTCCCTCAGCTGCCCACTTTTACTGCCTCGCTAGCCACTGCCACTACTGACGTGACCGCAGTTGCTGTTATGACTACGTCGCAGTCTCGAGGTAGGGGTGGCAGGAGGAGCGGTCGGGGTGCAGGTGACGGCGGCGGTGGCGGCGGAGGTGGTGGGGGTAGCGTGCCGAGAGTGCAGGGCCTGGAGAGGCGTCTCGTACAGCGGCCAGTGACTCCCATATTGCAGCTAGTGGAGGCGACACCCTGACTCGTCACCCTCCTCCTGGTCTGCCGGCTGCGGTGGGTGGAGCAGCGGCGTGGTACCTGGCCCAACGGTAACAGCAGGTGCAGCAGCAGCAGCCCCTCCCCTTGCAGCAGCCCCCGCAGCAGTAGCGGCAGCAGCAGGTTTCGGGGCCGGGACAGCGTCCGCCCCAGTGAGGTGTTTGTTCACCCTTCGTGCACCTATCGGGTTCTGACAGGTGCTCGCCAAGGCCAGCCTTGTGGCCGCACGCACCCTCCTAGTCAGTGCTTTGCTCAGCTCACTGACACGGTTCGCTTGGCTTTCGGCGTTGGCGGCCCTGCCCCTGACTGGTTACCTCTTGTTCAGACGTACGGCTCCGCTCTTTGGGGCATGTCTGCTTCTCAGTTGCTTGATCTCTTAGGAACTCCTTGTGCTATGTATGATGTTGTTGACTCTAGTGCTTCTGACTCTGTTTATTCGAGTGTTGTTAGCTTAGGTGCTAGTCTTGCTGAGTTGCCTGTTGCTAGTGTAGGCACTTGTGTAGACACTAGTCCAGTCACTACTTTGGAGGACGCTTCGCTGTCTTTCAGTCTGGACTCTGGGGCTTCGCACTGCTTGTTTTGCGACCACACGACACTTACTCCACTTCCTGCGCCAGTCTATGTGGCCCTGGCTGATCCCACCTCGGGACCAGTCACTGCTCGCTACACTACTACTCTTCCTTGCCCTGTTGTTCCCTCTGGGTCTCTGACTGGCTTCCATGTCCCCTCGTTCTCGAGGAACTTGGTGGGCGTAAGGCCTCTTATGAGTCAGCACGTAGGTGTGTGGATTGAGCCCTCTGGTGAGACGGCGGTTTGTGTTGACGGCGACACTTACACGCCTCTTGCCACCTTTACAGCTGAGCTGGGCTCTGGTCTCTACACACTTCACACTGGCTCAGGTGGGCAGCAGCTGTAGTAGTAGTAGCAGTGACTACTGCCCCCGGCCCCGGTTACTTCCCCCGGTTTGGTCCATGCGTCTCACCAGGTTGCTGCGTCCCCCCAGGTAGATGTGTCTGGTCAGGTTCCCGTGTCTGGTCCAGTTGTTGCGTCGTGCTCCTGCCGGTCGCTTGCACACCCCACCGTTATGTGGCACCACCGGACGGGGCACCCGTCCCTCCCTCGTCTGCGCGCTATGTCTCGTCAGCGTCTTATCTTAGGCCTCCTGCGTATCTTGCCGTCGATGCCGCCTTCGATTGCACCGCCGTGCGGTCCCTGCGTTGAGGGTGGGTTGCGCGCCACCCCTCACTCCTCCTCCCTTCGTCCGGCCACCAAGCCTTTTGAGACGCTCCACTTGGACGTCTGGGGCCCCGCCCCTCGCATTTTGGTGGTCGTTGACGACTACTCCCGCTACACCACAGTGTTCCCCCTGGCGAAGAAGTATGAGGTGACTTCTACGCTGATCAGGTGGTTGCTTACCACTGAGGGCACTCGTGGTCGTCGTGTCAGCTGTCTTCACTCTGACCATGGGGGTGAGTTTCGCTCCGGCATTCTCGCTGGATTCTGTCGCGAGCAGGGCATTCGTCAGTCCTGGACGCTTCCAGAGTCCCCACAACAGAATGGGGTTGCTGAGCGCCGCATAGGCTTGGTCATGGAGATCGCTCGCACCTCCTTGAATCACGCCCGTGCCCCCCATTTTCTGTGGCCCTACGCGATTAGGTACGCCGCTCACCAGCTGAACCTCTGGCCCCGCGTCTCTCGGCCAGAGGCTTCACCGACCAGTCTTTGGACCGGGTCCCCTGGTGTTGCGTCGAGGTTTCGTGTCTGGGGTTGGGCTTGGCTCTTGTCCGCGACACTTCTGCGGACAAGCTCTCACCTCGCGCCGTTCTCTGTGTCTTCCTTGGTTTCACTGAGGACTCCTCTGACTTCACCTTTTACCACCCTCCCTCTCACCGGTTCTTTGACTCCCGTGACGTCCGTTTTGAGGAGTCCACCCCTTACTACGTCAGGTACCCCAGTCGAGGTCTCCCGGTTCCTCCTCCCCTTCTCTTCCTAACTTTCGCTCCCCCTCCTGCTCCCCCGGTACAGCCTCCCCCCCCTGGTCCCGCCCCGTCAGGTGTGTCCCAGGCTACCCTACCCCCCTCGGTAGCCCCTCAGGTGCAGCCTCCTTCCCCGCAGTCCTCCTGGGCTGTACCCCATATTGGCTACCCCACTACAACCTACACATATATAACATGCATATACTTTGACATGCCAGCTAGCTGAGTAGGTAGGCGGGTGCTTTATCTTGCTATATTGGTTAAAGATTCCCCCCCTAAGGGTTTCAATAAGTGACTACTTCTGATGGATGTGGGTAACTTGGGCAATAGTTTGCTCTAGCATCTTAGTAATTTATGACTGCAAGATGTCTTCCTCTCCCTCCAACTCAATTCCTTTTACATGAAAATCTCTTTCCTTGAACTTCGGATTTTGAGAAGTTGGAGACTATTCAGCCATCTCCTCATCCATACTGTTGACGTCAATCCTCCCAACAGAGGCTTCCAATCCAACATTAGGGTTGCCTCCATCCTCACCATTAGCACGGGAGTTCTTGGAAGTCATTCACAAAAGGGAAGAAATCACTGTATTATTTGTAAGAGTTATACATTCATTAATTTTTGTTTTTATCGTAATAAATACCAATAACTTATTCGATCAGGGAATTTCTTCGAAAGGTATGTAACAACTGCTGTAGGACAACAACTTTGTTGCAAAAAAACTTTGAAGTGGATAAAGTAAGACCAGTGACCAACTTTCAGATGAAGATTGTTCTTGTCTTCATTAGATATTGTGTACCATATACATAACTAGCCAAAAAAAAAAAAAAAAAAAACAGTGACTTTACAGGTTTCGCCAATAGGGACGAAGGGGGAAGGAGAGGGGGGGGGGGGGGGAGAGGGAGAGGGTTGAAAATTCTTCAAGAATCTTGAAAATATTCAAAAGCTTCAACTCTCAACGTAAGACTTTGAGTCTTAGGCAATTTAAAGACTTCACAAATTTATCATAAACTTTAAAATGGAACCCACGACTTATCTAAACAAGAAAATAACGAATTTTCCTTATGTGCGCACTATATGAATGTGTCTTCTAGCTCTGAATACCAATATAACGTCTAGCACACTGAAAATGGCATTAACCCATTAATGTAATAGCTCTTGTACAAAACAGAGGATCAGGAGCTCTGAAAATACCTGTCGAAGACTTGAAACTCTAGAGAAAACCAGTAAAAAATGTAGAGGAGGAATCTTTCTTCCAAATTGGATTGTTGGGGAAGAAAATGTGAGAATGAGCTTCAGCAACTCAATTTCCTTCTAAGATCCCCTGCGGTGAAGCCTCCTCCTTGAAAATGCCCATGTGGCAATGACCAAAACATGTAAACATTGAGGATTAGATGTTGAGAGACTAAGTAAGAGTAGGGCCTAGGCTTAGTAGCCTAGGCCAAAGGGAGTCGAGAGAGTTTAGGCAAAGAGTAAGGAGTTCACTATTGAGCGAGGTACAAATAGCAAACAAAGCGTGCAAAGAAGGTGCACCACCAACAAGTTTATAATAACTATACTAATTACAGCTACAGGTAGTTACATATATATTCTAACACTCCCCCATAACTGCCTGCAGCAGAAGCTAATGCAGAGACACCCCCTGAAGGGGTACACCATGAAGGGGTACACCAAGCGCAGCAGAAGGAGAGGGCAAGTGAGGAGGAGGGACTATATGAGGAGAAGTTGCTGGCAGGTGAAGCTGCTAGCTCCAAGGAGGCTGCTTCCTGGAACCTTCCTCAGTCCTCCAACTCCCCCTTCCACACTCCTCGACAACCCTAGCACCTCTCCCCCAGCTCCCCCACACCCTCACACCCACCCCCCCAGCAGCAGTTGTAGTAGTGGGAGAGAAAGGACGAGGAGGGGAAGGGGATCACACACACCCATCACCCCCATACCCACCACCCCCATAGCCTCCGTTCCACGGCTGTACGCGCAGCAGGGAGACGAAGAAGGGGGAGGGGGAAGAGCAGGGGCAGCATAGGCACGGGCAGCACAGGCACGGGCAGCACAGGCACGGGCAGCAACGGGCGGCGACGGGCAGCACAGGCACGGGCAGCAACGGGCGGCAACGGGCAGCACAGGCACGGGCAGCAACATGCGGCAACGGGCAGCACAGGCACGGGCAGCAACGGGCGGCAACGGGCAGCACAGGCACGGGCAGCAACGGGCGGCAACGAGCAGCACAGGCACGGGCAGCAACAGGCGGCAACGGGCAGCACAGGCACGGGCAGCAACGGGCGGCAACGGGCAGCACAGGCACAGGCAGCAACAGGCAGCAACGGGCAGCACAGGCACAGGCAGCAACGGGCGGCAACAGGCAGCACAGGCACGGGCAGCAACGGGCGGCAACAGGCAGCACAGGCACGGGCCGCAACGGGCGGCAACAGGCAGCACACGGGCAGCAACGGGCGGCAACAGGCAGCACAGGCACGGGCAGCAATGGGCGGCAATGGGCAGCAACGGGCAGCAACGGGCAGCACAGGCACGGGCAGCAACAGGCGGCAACGGGCAGCACAGGCACGGGCAGCAACGGGCGGCAACGGGCAGCACAGGCACGGGCAGCAACAGGCAGCAACGGGCAGCACAGGCACGGGCAGCAACGGGCGGCAACGGGCAGCACAGGCACGGGCAGCAACAGGCAGCAACGGGTAGCACAGGCAAGGGCAGCAACAGGCGGCAACGGGCAGCACAGGCACGGGCAGCAATGGGCAGCACAGGGAGGCAGCCGTACCGAGTCCAGGAGCGGCGGCGCATGCAGCTGTAGGGTCGGTGCCGTGGGCTGCTGCTGGGGCGGCTCGCGGGGTCCCTGGGGCGGCCTCGCGGGCTGCTGCAAGGTCGGAGCCACGGGGTCGAGGGGCGGCTGCTGAGGTCCAGGGGCGGCTTCACCAGGGGCAGCTGCTCCAGGGGCCAGGGGCGGGTGCTCTGGGTCCAAGGGCGGCTGCAACAGGGGCGGCTGCACCAGGGGCCAAGGGCGGCTGCGGAGGTCCAGGGGCGGCTGCACCGGGGGCAACTGCTCCAGGGGCCAGGGGCGGCTGCTCTGTGTCCAAGGGCGGCTGCTCCAGGGGCGGCGGCGGCTGGTCCAGAGTCCAGGGGCAGCTGCTCCAGGGGCGGCGCTGGTGCATGGCAGAGGCGGTGGCCAAGGGGGAGGGCGCCGCGACGAGCAGGGACGCCGCCCAAGGGGCGCCGCGACGAGCAGGGACGGCGCCCAAGGGGCGCCGCGACGAGCAAGGGCGACGCCCCAGGGGCGCCGCGACGAGCAGGGGCGGCGTCCAGGGGGCGCCGCGACGAGCAAGGACGGCGCCCAAGGGGTGCCGCGACGAGTAAGGGCGACGCCCCAGGGGCGCCGCGACGAGCAGTGGCGACGCCCCGCGGGTCCCGCAGGGGCGTCGCGACGAGCAGGGCGACGCCGCGGGTCCCGCAGGTGCGTCGCGACGAGCAGGAGCGGCGCCTCGCAGGGCGCCGCGAAGTGGAGGGTACGGGCGGGCAAAACAGGCCCGCGCGTGGACGTGAGGCAGGCGCGCAGGCGGCGTGAGAGCAGGCCGCGCGCGGGGCAGGAAGGCGCCGCGCGCCCAGGGCGCACGGCGGGCAGAAAACCGCCACGCGCCCCGAGAACACGGCGAGAAAAATACGCCGCGCGCCCGAGGCGCGCGGCAGGACGATAAGCAGCGGAAGCACATTGGTGGGCCCGTTAAGGAAGGCAGCAGGAAGGTACTTGCTCTGAATACCATGTTGAGAGACTAAGTAAGAGTAGGGCCTAGGCTTAGTAGCCTAGGCCAAAGGGAGTCGAGAGAGTTTAGGCAAAGAGTGAGGAGTTCACTATTGAGCGAGGTACAAATAGCAAACAAAGCATGCAAAGAAGGTGCAACACCAACAAGTTTATAATAACTACACTAACTACAGCTACAGGCACTTACATATATATTCTAACATTAGAACGTGTTGTGTGTGGAATGTTACCACAAGATTTCACTAAGTTAATGATATATTTTCAACCAGTGGCGGAAATGTTGTTGATACATATTGTGGGGCGCTTTTTATTGGTTGTTTTTTATTGGTATAGGAAAATCGATATCTTACAGGAGGAGATGCAGCATGGCTGGGGAGGAGATACTGCGCGGGAAGGCTAGCCCCTATTCAAGGGTCTGAGTATGTAGAGAGAGACTTGTAGCAGTAGCTTGATTGTCGGAGCAGAAGTTCCTTCAAGGCGTTGTCAAAACTTTGAACACTGACAACGTTATGGCGCCAAGCACGTGTCTACTTTAAACAAGCAAGTATTAGCATTTTACATTCAGTCCATTGCATTCTATTCTAAGCTATACTGCTACTATATTTTGTAGCTTTGCTTGTCGTAGCGCAAGCATGTTTCGAATTCCCGCCATTGGTTTTCAACTCGTCTGACGAGTTCGCGACTCCCGATCGATATATTTCTAAACTTCTCGCATGAAGTTTGCCAGCGGTCCCAATCCAATAATATATATTTCGAGCCATCTCTAAGTGGTTGGGACGGAACCGTTCAGAGTGGCAAAAAGTTACTTTGAACGCAGACTAAGCACTGTTCGCCACGTGTGCCGATCCCGAACCGTGAACAAACTCCCCGAGTTCATTGTTCAGAGCGTGAGTAACGGCACTCACATTTTGATCCTCTCGTTGGTCTCGCCATCAGCACTGCACTCGACTCGCGAGTGGGTAACACTCGCGTTACTCCCCACGTTGTCAAACATTATATGTTTGTGTGGTTCTAGGCTGTAGTGGGTCACACCATAAGGGGTACACCAGATTAGGGTTTGACATATTTGTACTGTTGTTCCTGCTAGTCACTCCTCATTCTCGTTTCTCATTCTGACATGGTATTACGAGCCTAGGTTCCACCTAGGACCGAAACGATAGGGCCCACCGTTTCCGCTAGCCGCGCCCTCGTGCGCCGCCGTTCTTTTTCCTGCGCCTCGAGCTCCTCCTTCTCAAGGCCCCGTATGGCCCCGCGCTAGCCTCTCACGGCCCCCGATCGGCCCCGCACTAACCTCCTAAGGCCCCCGTCGGCCCCACGCTAGCCCCGCGCTAGCCTCCTAAGGCCCCCGATCGGCCCCGCGCTAGCCTCCTAAGCCCCCGTCGGCCCCACGCTAGCCCCGCGCTAGCCTCCTAAGGCCCCCAATCGGCCCCGCGCTAGCCTCCTAAGGCCCCCGTCGGCCCCGCGCTAGCCTCCTAAGCCCCCGTCGGCCCCACGCTAGCCCCGCGCTAGCCTCCTAAGGCCCCCGATCGGCCCCGCGCTAGCCTCCTAAGGCCCCCGTCGGCCCCCTTGCTAGCCTCCCACGGCCCCTGCAGGTCCCGCGCTAGCCCCTCACGGCCCCTTAAGGCCCCACGCTAGCCTCCCACGTCCCCTGCAGGCCCCGCGCTAGCCTCTCACGGCCCCCCCTTTGGCCCCGCGCTAGCCCCGACCGGCCCTCCCGCGCTCGCCCCTCTACGACCGAGCCGCACGGCGCGACCCGAACCGAACCGCGCGACCCAGCCGAGCCGCGCCGCCCCAGCCGAGCCGCGCCGCCCTAGCCGAGTCGCGCCGCCCTAGCCGAGTCGCGCCGCCCTAGCCGAGCCGCGCCGCCCTAGCCGAGCCGCGCCCTACTTACCTGTGCACAGCACTGCTACTGCTACTACTACTGCTGCTGCTACTGCTACTTCAGCTATGGCTAGCCCTACAGTTCTCTCGTTCGATTCTGAGGGCCGCCCGATTAAGTTTGATACCTGGCTCGATGATCTGCACCTTTTCCTCCAGCTCACTGCCAGAGAGGATATCTCGCTGTACGATCACGCACTAGGCACAGTCCCTGCTCCTGCTACTACTGCTACCGCTACCGCTCGCTCGCAGTGGCAGACTCGCGATGCCCACGCCCGCTTTGCCATTCGCAACTCCCTGCCAGTCGATGAGCGTGAGCACTTCGGCCAGCATCAGACTGCGCAGGCCCTGTACACTGCTGTAGTTGCGCGCTACTCCTCCCCGGCCTCAGCTGCACTAGGCCGTCTCTCCCTTCCCTACCTGTTCCCCGACCTGTCCGCTTTCCAGACAGTCGCTGACCTCATCACTCACCTCCGTACTAGTGATGCCCGCTTCCGTGCAGCCATGCCCGCTGAGTTTCTTGCCTCCAACCCTCCCCCGCTCTGGCTCACTCTCTACCACCTAGTCACCCGCCTCCCTGACACTCTGCGTACAGTCAGGGACCACTTCCTAGCTCGCTGTCCCACTGAGCTCACCATTGCCGCCCTAGAGAAGGAACTACTTGCAGCTGAGAAGAGTATTGTAGCTGTAGGTGCCTCTCGTGGCGACCCCCGCACCCCTTTCTTCGAGGGGTGTTCCCCCTCCCCCCTCCTCCCCTCTATCGCCTCTGCTGCTGCTGTCGACCTTCTTGGTGCTGAGCAGGTCGGCTCTGCATCCGCTCCCAGCGGGCGCCGCAGCGGCAAGGGCAGGGGAGGCAAGGGCGGTGGGGGTGACGGCGGGGGAGGTGGTGGTGGGGGTGGTGGCAGCGGCGGGGGCGGTGGCGGGGCTGGAGGGGCTAGTGGCAGCGGTGGGGGAGGTGGAGGCAGCGGCGGCGGCGGTGGCCGCGGTGGGGGCGGTGGTGGTGGCGGCAGTGGACGTGGCGGCGGCAGGGGCGGTGGTGGTCGTGGTGGAGGCGGCGGTGGTGGTCGTGGAGGCTCTGGCACTGGCCAGAGTGCGCAGCACCCTCAGTCCTCCCAGGAGCTTCGTGAGTGGTACTTACAGCACGGGGGTGGGGGGGGTAGCCTTAGCTGCACGTACGTCATCCGCACTGGTCGCCGCAAGGGACAGACGTGCGGGAGGGCGCACACTTCGCAGCGCTGCCTCTCTCGCCTAGATGATGCTTGGCGTACTCAGTTTCCTGACGCTCCTGAGCTCCCTCAGTGGGCTGATCTCCTCAAGAAGGATATCGATATCTATGCTCTTGATTTTGATGTTATTATCAAAGCTATGTATGCATTGGCTATTAGTGGAGAGGAGGACCAGTACCTGAGTGTTCCGCCTGACCCAGGCATCCGCACGAGTGAGGCTGCCGCCCTAGGTGCTTGCGTGTCTGCTGCCCCAGGTACTGGTGAGGCTACTGCTCTAGGTGCGTGTGTGTCCGCCACCCCAGGTGCTACTGAGTCCACTGAGGCACTGCACACCTTCACTCTAGACTCAGGCGCTTCGCGCTGTTTCTTTCGTGACCGCACTGCTCTTGAGCCCCTTGCTCGACCAGTCGCTGTCTCGCTCGCTGACCCCTCTGGGGGTCCGGTCATTGCGACCTCCTCCACCCTCCTTCCTTGTCCTGCTGTCCCGTCGGGCACACTGTCAGGTCTCCACCTCCCCTCGTTCTCTACGAACTTGGTGGCGGGTTGTGCGCTTCAGGATGGGGGTGTTCACCAGTTCACCCCTGCCTACGAGCGTGTGACACACTGCACGTGTGCTCGGACGGGCCGTCACCTGGCTACCTTCACTCGGCAGCCGGGGTCGGACCTGTACACACTGACCACTGAGTCCCCTCAGGTAGCGGCGTCTGCGTCTGCGTCTGTGTCAGGTCAGCTGGCAGCCCCCTGCTCGTGTCGCTCTCTAGCGCACAAGACTGTCCTCTGGCACCACCGACTTGGTCACCCGTCAGTGCAGCGCCTTCGGG